GAATTTCTAAATACTAGGTGGAGGTGCCTTTGGCCTCAAATGGGTCTGAGTTTGGGATAACTATATTGGTTTATACAGATTTAATTATGCCTCTAGATTTAGAACACCATTTTAAAAATCAGGAATTGATTTAGATGTGTGAGTTAGGTGCTTTACTAAATCTCCTGTATAGATTAACACAGTGCCTGGTCCATCATGTTTAATACCATGTTTCCCTGAAAATAAGACAAGGTCTTATATTTATTTTTTCCTCAAGAAGACACCCTAGGGCTTATTTTCAGGGGATGTGTTATTTTTTTTAAGTACAGTACAACAATCTACATTTATTAAAATATAGTTAAGTTGTGTTCTTCTGGAAGATCATCATAACTCTCCAAACCCCGAATTCCATCCTGAATTTCTTTTAGAACCATTGGCCCCAATATCTCATGTCGAGCAATAGAGCTCTCACGGGGCAGATGAGAAGGGCTGCTCGTCTTCTTTATTCCACGATGAAATGCATGGGTTGTGCATATACGCTTCGTAGCCACGCCCATTACTAGGTCTTTTTTTTTTTTTTTTTTTGTTACCCAGGCTAGAGCGAGTGCCCTAGCGTCAACCTAGCTCACAGCAACCTCAAACTCCTGGGCTCAAGCAATCCTGCTGCCTCAGCCTCCGAGTAGCTGGGACTACAGGCATGCGTCACCATGCCTGGCTAATTTTTTCTATATATATTAGTTGGCCAATTAATTGCTTTCTATTTATAGTAGAGACGGGGTCTCACTCTTGCTCAGGCTGGTTTCAAACTCCTGACCTTGAGCAATCTGCTCCTCGGCCTCCCAGAGAGCTAGGATTACAGGCGTGAGCCACCGTGCCTGGCCCATCACTAGGTCTTATTTTTGGGGTAGGGCTTATATTGTGCAAATGCTTAGAAATCCTGCTAGGGCTTATTTTATGGGTAGGTCTTATTTTCAGGGAAACACGGTAGATATTGGTTAGCTGGCTGTTGTCATAGGCATCATCATGGCCAACCCCATTCCTTTAGACACGTACAGAGAGATAGCTGGAGACAGTTTGGAACAATGGAAAGATAATGCTTTCTCCACTTCCATCATTTCCTTTTGTGTAATCTTAGGCAAGTCACTTAACTTCTTTCAGCATTGATCTCCACAAGTAGACCAATTAAATTTCACTCCTAGAACATGACTCCTTTGGAGGCTCTAGTGTTGGAGCCCCATACTTACTCTATGTTAGTTATTATGACAAGCAAGCAAAGGCAAGGGCCTGACCCTCAGGGAAGTCACACTGATCCTAGTGAAATGGCCAGACCCCTTAGAACATGCCGGTGTTTTTGCCCCTTTGTTTTTTTACTTCAAAATAAGATATGTGCAGTGTGCATAGAAATTTTTTCATAGTTTTTTTAAAACTATAGTCTGGCCCATCAACAGTCTGAGGGACAGTGAACTGACCCCTGTTTAAAAAGTTTGAGGACCCCTGCTTAGACATACCATGCCCTGCATGTACACAGGCCCCATCCGTGCATCCTACGTATGTAGCCTCAGTTGGAAACAACATGCGGAAGTACCAGGTGGAAGCAGAGGCCCAAACCAAGATGGGATAACCTGAGTCACCCACCATTGTCTCAGAGATTCTATTGTCTTGTTCTGACGTTTAATGTTCTATTTTGTGTCAGAGTTACCCAGGAATTGCTTTGTTTCAGGTATTATACTATTTCACATATTTCTCTCATTTAAACCTCATAACAACCCTGTGAAGAAACAACTACCATTCTCCCCTATTTTATGAATGAGGAAATTGAGGCACAGCATTGTTAAGTAATGTACCCCAGGTTACACAGCTAGTAAGTGGCTAAACCAATAGTCAAACCCAAGCATTCTAGAAGGAGAACCCTTGCTATATTATATTGCCTCTTAGAAATTACCAGGGAGTTTAGCAGTTTGGGTCAAAATGAAAATTGGACATAATCTGTCATCCAACAATTTCACCTTAATGAATTTCTCCAATAATTCTGTTTGACTTTGCTATTGGAATTGCTTATAATGACAAAAGAAAAAAATGGTAATCATCTATCTGTAGGAGACTAGTTAAATAATTTATGCTATATCATTGCAATAGGGTAATGTAGACTCATTAAAAAAATAAGAATGCAGATTTAAATATGTTAATATAAAACTATCCTCAAGATATATTCTTACAGTTGGGGTTTTTGGGAACTAGGGGAGAGGGTCTTGCTCTATTGCCCGGAGTGGAGTGCAGTGGGTCAATCATTGCTTACTGCAACCTCAAACTTTTAGGTTCAAGTGATCTTCCTGCCTCAGCCTCCTGAGTAGCTTGGTGGCATGAGCTACCACATCTGAATAATTTTCCTATTTTTTGTAGAGACAGGGTCTCACTATGTTGCCTCGGTTGGTCTCAAACTCCTGACCTCAAGCAATCCTCCTGCCCTGGCCTCCCAAAGTGCTAGGATTACAGGCATGAGCCACTGTACCTAGCAAAGATATATTCTTAAAATGAAAAAAAATAGATTGCAAAACTGTATATATATTTTTTTAAACATTGCAAAATAGTGTATATAGCATGCTATCATTAATACTTTTTTAAAAGAGATGGAGACAAACATGCACACACACACACACACATACACACCCCACTTGCAGTTGCTATCTATGACAAATATCCCTAGAGGTACACAAGAAACTGGAACTAGTCTCTCATAAGCAGAGCTGCAGGACTGGAGATCATCCAGGGGAAGGAAAATTATGTCTCATCTTTCTGTATTTTAAATCATAAATGTTTATTATCTTTTCAAAAATTATTTTTATCTTTATTTTTAGAATAAATTGTGTATATTTGAGATTTACAACATGATGTTATGGGATACATATTGACAGTAAAATAGTGAAGCAAATGAGTGTATCTCTCATCTCAAGTAGCTATTTTGTATGTGTTATAACAAAAGCAGCTAAAATCTACTTAGTTAACAAAAATCCCTAATACAATATAAATTTATTAACTATAGTCCTCATGATGTACATAAAATCTCTAGACTTGTTTATCCTACATATTTACTACTTTATATCCTTTGGCCTGTATTTCCCCATTTCCTCCCCACACTTACGGCATAAAGTCAAGCTGCAGGTACTAGCAAATATGTGAGGACATCACAACTTCCCAATTTTAAGTCCTATGACATTTTCCAAACCCAGCACCTAAACCAGGAAGCATAGGTGGGCAGTGCTCTTTGGCTAAACAGGTATGAGCTTATTAGTTTGATCACTTTAATATAATAATATTACCTACTTTATGCCTATAAATTCAGTCTTTGGTGAGTGTTGTAAAGACGCAGGAGAGAAAATGCCAAATTGTTCACAAAATAATAGAGGAAATAAGATCTATAAATGATGTAGTAAAACCTTGATAGTATCAGTTCACTCTTCCCTGGATTTATATATTTTGTACTGAAGGTCACATCATATCACATAGTGCATTTCCAGCACAATAGAGGTTAAATCAGCATTTGTCTAATAAATAAATCCACTAATTAATCAATAAATGAATGGATATCACTGAGGGAGAAGCTGATTCTGTCTTTGGTGTCTACTGTCCAACTTACTGCCAATGCTGTTCTTCAAGAACAGCATGGAGAATGAAAGTCTTTTGATAAGAAATGTGCTAGGATCAGGTGCTAGAGCTGAATGTCACATGAGGGAGACTATAAATCCAGATGGAGGCAGGAAGAGGAGGGCAGGTGTAGTGGTCTTTAGAGCTGGTGACCAAATATTTCCAGGTGTCCTCCCTAGGACATTGTAGAATGGTACTTCCCCACTCCTTGGAGTTCTCTGTAGCCATGTGACTTGTTTGTGTCACTGAAACGAGCAGAAATGTTGTGTTTTGCTTCTACACAGAAGCGTTAAAAGCCAGTATGTGATGTGTCCAACTTTTCCGTAGGATGACCAACCATCACGATTAGCCTAAGATAGAGGAGTTTCCTGAGGCATGGGAACGTCAATGCTAAAATTGGTACAGTTCCAGGCAGACTGGATGGTTGGTCGCCCTACTAGGGCAATTATCGACTTGTCAGGTAGCAATCACTCCATCACCATACGTCCAGGAGTGAAGGCAATTCAGAACAGAGCCCCTATCAAACCAGAGACTCGGGATGTTTAAACAACTTGCCTGTGGACACACTGCTAATAATGATCAGAGATGGATTCCAGCCCACATCTGTGTGACTTCAGAGTCCATAGTCTTATGCTTCACTCTACCTGAGTGTAAGGTTTTTTGGTTTTGTTTTGTGTGTGTGTGTGTGTGTGTGTGTGTGTGTGTGTGTGTGTGTATTGGTACTCTCTATTATTTATTCCAGGATGGTACAAGATGCAGGTATATTTTTTATTTTGTTTCAACCTTAGAGAATCTGATCCACAAAGGTAGTAAGAACAACAACTTTCCTAAATTCATTGAATGTTGTTACATTCATTCTCAAACAATGTTTGTGCTGGGCGTTGTGAGGCATAAAAGGTGAAGGAATGCTATGATTTCTTCCCTCAAGAAACATATAATATAAAGGGTAGGCATAAACTTGTACTTAGGTAACTCTGTCACAAGGCAGAAGCTAAGTGTTTTTAAACCATTGTATATACTTTCCTGTACTTTGCAAATTTACTATAATAAGCACATTAGTTTTATGATTTAAAAAATCATTAGTTTTATGACTTAAAAGCCTTTATCTTAGGAAGCAACAATTAAAAATAGTTAAAGTATCTTTATTCTTCAGGTTACCAATTTTCAGTGCAATAACACCTATAGAAAGTATATGGATGTGTGTTTATACATATTTTATTTTTATTTTTATTTTGAGACAGGGTCTCACTCTGTTGCCCAGGCTGGAATGCAGTTGTACGATCATAGCTCACAGCAACTTCAAACTCCTGCGCTCAAACAATCCTCCTGCTTTGGCCTCCCAAAGTGCTAGGATTACAGGCATGAGCTACTATCCCTGGCCAGAAAGTATATTAATACTTTCTTTGTCTGAAGGTCAGTACCATTTATTTGAAGCTAACGCTACAGGGACACTTAGCAGCCTCCAGTAGGATGGGGAGCTTTCAGATTTCGCTCGGTTGTGCTGACAGATTTCCCACTGTATTCATGGTTCCTCCCTTGGCCTGTATGGCCATTGGCCAGAGGCGTCCACTAGGCAGGATTCTCTGCCATGGATCAAAGCCAACTAACCAGTCTGAAGGAGGGTAGTCTTTGTTAAGTGGAGGAATAAAGTGCCCAGCACTCCCTTGGGATCCTTCTCACTGGTCTAAAGGCGTTAGAATAAAGCCGTATCCAGAGAGGGGTGGTGACCGGGCATGCAGCAAAGGTAATTTGAAGCCCAAGACCTCGAAGATAACTAGGCTTTCTTACCAGCCCTGGACAAACACAGTGTGGTTTCTAGGGAAAGCCCCACTGTCCTGCCGTCTGCAATTGGGCAGCCTCTAGGGCTGCAGGGAGGTTTTGGTCTCTAAGCAGTCAATAGAATCAATTGCTCTGATGGATTTAGCAGAAGTTAAGCAGCAAATATGTGCATGTTTGAGCTGTTTGGGGAATGGACGTAGCAATAAGCAAACATGCAAAAACCTACTGCTTTGAGATGTTTTGTAGCAGCTGTGCTCCCCGCAGAACAGGTTTCCCGCATTGCCTGGATCCGAGAGCATCTCATGGGTCCTCCCTGTTAGAATGCCGAGTGTCCCTGGAGAGTTTGAGATGAGGAGGGATGGGGCTGTCTCCCAGCTGAGACTGATGCAGAGATCACATGAAGTAAAACCTCAGCAGCTGACATGAACTAGTGCAGAGGGCCTGGATGTCTGTCAACTCCAGTGAGAGATTTCTCCCAGCTTTCTAGGTGAACATACTTCCACTGACCAAGCCAGACACAAACTTGTGCTTATGACATTTTTGCCCAAGAACAGCACAAACTGAACTTTTATGTTCTTCATAATATAAAAGGAACCACTGAACCACTCCTTGGGACATCTCATGTATATGTATATGTATATGTATATGTATATGTATATGTATATGTATATGTATATATACCTGATGTGCATGAGTATATATTCTATTGTTATCTTATTTTTTGGAGACAGAGTCTCGCTTTGTTGCCCAGGCTAGAGTGAGTGCCGTGGCATCAGCCTAGCTCACAGCAACCTCAAACTCCTGGGCTCAAGTGATCCTCCTGCCTCAGCCTCCCAAGTAGCTGGGACTACAGGCATGTACCACCATGCCTGGCTAATTTGTTTTTTCATTTTTAGTTGACTGGCTAATTTTTTCTATTTTTAGTAAAGACAGGGTCTTGCTCTTGCTCAGGCTGGTCTCAAACTCCTGAGCTCAAGCAATCCTCCCACCTCAGTCTCCCAAAGCTAGGATTATAGGCGTGAGCCACCGCACCCGGCCTATTGCCTTATTATTATAGCATGGTGTTAGTTAGGATAGGCTGCATAGGCTGCATTAACATAAAACCCCCAAATAAAAGTTTATATTGGCCGGGCATGGTGGTTCACGCCTGTAATCCTAGCACTCTGGGAGGCTGAGGCAGGAGGATCACTTAAGCCCAGAAGTTTGAGTTGCTGTGAGCTAGGCTGACACCCCGGCACTCTAGCCGGGGCAACAGAGTGAGACTCTTGTCTCAAAAAAAAAAAAAAAAAAGTTTATATCGTGTATCACAATCCAGCATAGGTAAGGGGCTCTCCTAGGCAACTCCTCCAAGTGGTAACTTAAGGATTCAGGCTCCTTTCATTTTAAAATGCCATCATCTTCAACATTTGGCCTCAACAGTTGCCAGAGGGAAAAGGGAGTGTGTATAAGACCACACAGCAGGATTTATGGCTAAGTCTACAAGCACTGTCCATTACTTCTACCAAATCCCATTAGCCAGAATTCAATCGCATGGCCCTATTTTAACTGCAAGGGAGGCTGGGAAATGCATTTTTGTGTGCCAAGAAGAGAAAATGAAATTGATGAGTATCTAGCCAGTTTTTCTACAAGTCCCTACATGTTGGAATTATTATCTATTATTTTTCTTCTGATTATGCTTTGCATTTGATACTATGTAGGCTGCCTTATTGCCTTGCCCTGTATTTTGTGACATCCACGTATGGCATCCCATTCTTCACAGCAGTACTAGGAGTTGTCAAGAGAGAGATTTTTTTATCCATATTTGATAGGGACCCTGAAACCCAGAATAGTAAGTGACAGAGCTTTTCTTCTCTCACTCTCAGATTAGTGGTCTCTGCACTACACCATCCTGTCTTCCCCAAAAGCTCAAACTGGATGCACATATCTCAGTGTACAAACTCAGGTATGCTAGAAATCTATCTTTATTCCTCTAGTAATCAACCTAATTTATATTTCAAGCCCCCACCCTATGTTGGAAGGTGTCAGCAATGACTCCCACCATTTTGGTATTTCTCTATCTTTATGTGTCTAGGTTTGAGGTAAGATGAGGGTGGTTAGTTAGTGCCAAGGTATTGGGAAATTCATTTTTCCTTGAGTCAGCTCTTTGAGGGAATACCAACCAAGATGTCCACAGTTCCTTCTGGTCTTCTTTTACTGATACACATCTGTACCTCCTTCCTGTTTATGTAGCCCATCATATCTGACAGCTCCCTGCTACTTTGGGGCCACTCCAGGGTTTGGGAAGTTCTGTAGGCCCACGCCACACAGCCATTCTTCTCCCCAGGCTTGCTGCCTCCCTGAGGTAGAAGGGCAGGGTGGCAGGGAAGGGCCTACCCATGCCTTTGCCCTCTTTCATCTACTTTCCTCCCACCTGGCAGAGGGGAGTGTTTCTAGTCCTCCAAAGAAGCCCCACTCTCCTCAAACCTTTTTCTTCCAAATACTTGGGCTGTGCTTCAAATCCTCTGAAGTCTTCTGAGAGTATTTTTTTAAGGGGAAAGAGTGAGAAGGGGGGTTTCAGTTACCTTTTTGGGTTTTTTGTTTTTGTTTTGAGGCAGCTTAGTTGCCCTGGGTAGAATGCCATGGCGTCAGCTAGCTCACAGCAACCTCAAACTCCTGGACTCAAGTAATCCTCCTGCCTCAGCCTCCCTAGTAGCTGGGACTACAGGCAACCACCACCACGCCCGGCTAATTTTTCCTATTTTTAGTAGAGATGGGGTCTTACCTTTGCTCAGGCTAGTCTTGAACTCCAGAGCTCAAGCAATCTTCCCACCTCAGCCTCCCAGAGAGCTAGGATTACAGACGTGAGCCACTGCGCCTGGTCCTCTGAGAGTTTTTGTAACACAAAACACAACTCACAGAAGTTGATGTTCTTGTCTTGCTGTTTATCCTGTCACATCATTTCCCCACCTTCAGGCATTGCAACAGGGCCTGCCGTCCAGGGCCCCCCTGCTTGAGACAGGGGGGAGTAAGTAGGGGAATACCAAGAGAAAAACCCGTTTCTCAATCACATGTGTATCACAATTAACTTCACCAGGTCCTTGTGAGGTGAGTATCTGTGTTATTGTTCTGAAACTAACAGTGAGGAGAGGAGGCATTGATGGGAGTTCTTGTATTTGAGAACCCCTCCTGCCTGATGGGTCTTTAAATGTATATCACCACCCACCCACTTCAACCCTATGGCTCCACCCTGATGGCTTGATCAAGTTTTCAGTTAAGAATTGAGGACCTGGTTGTCTCAGAAGACCCACAGCTGGGAAAGCCTGCCCATATAGATAACTTACTGGTCTTCTAAATGTGGATTTCTCTGCTATTTAAGTGTTTATCACCCTGACTCAGTTATGAGCACACACCCTAGAGTAAATCTGTTCCCTGGAGGGATGTCATGCACATTACAGCCACACTGATGAAGGGGAAGGAAGCATTGAGATGGCTTAAGTGGAAAGGTTACATACTGCTTGTAAGAGCTGAAGAGACTCAGACAAGGGGCAGGCAAAGGGATACTATGTTAAAGCAAAACATTATCTTTAACAAACTGACTTGTGCCAAACCCTATTTACAGATGGATTTTAAAATTATTTCAAAGCACACTAGACTTTCAAAAGAGGTTTGTTTTAAAGAGTACAGTTGGCTTTTGGTCAAAAAATGAAGTTTCGGTGATGCACAGTAACAATTGTAACATAATTACTGGCCACAAAATACCAGGTGCCCAACCAAGCCTTTTCTACTCATTTAAGAGAGCCAAGCCAAGCAAAAATGCCCTGCCTAACCATACCCAGAAGTTCAAAAGCTCAGCCTTTGTCACCAGGAAGGAATTAATTCAAAGAGCAAAGCCATTATTAGGCACAACCAGGCATTCTGTTGTAAACACCTTTTGTTAATACATGTTGAGAGCTGAACTTTCTCACATTTGAAAGAGGCCTGCTTAAGAGAGAGTTTAAACCAAACCAGGTTCAATGTTATTTTCTTTTCTTTTCTTCTTTAGATTTCTGACATCAAATCTGTGGGATCTGTGCAGTGGGGAGGTGCTGGCCTTGGAGTCCAACGGTCCCCCAGCTATTATTTTACTTAAGGATTGCAGTGTTCTCTGTTTTTTCATGAACAGATTGATTTTGCTCAAGGGAATAAACCTGAAAAGACAAAACAGAGGAGTGTAATAGGGAAGAAAGATATAAGGAGACCTAAATAAAGATGTATTTCCCTCCTTATGTTTAGGGAAGCCGTTTCCTAAAATCCTTGAGCTCAAGCTCAAGTGAATTTATTTAATACATTTTATTTAATTACGATGACAATACCGCAGATGTTTTTGTCTCTTTTTATTGCTTCCGGTTAGTTACTGAGAGAAAAAATTCAATGTAACTTTTTTGTATTCTGAAAATAATGATGCTATCTCATCTGTTTCATATGTGCTTTACAATGTACGTGTATATATATAAATTGACTAACACGGTCACCTTGTGTGGTTGCTACAAACAGATGTAAGACTAAAACTAGGGCTCTATGTCGACAGAGCAAAACCCCATCATAAAAGCACTTTGCGATGTTTTAGAATTGATTGTGTTGGGAGGAAAAACAAACATTCAGTCTCAAAATGACCTGAAAAATCCATGGTATGAACCTATTTTCCTTCTCTCACCCTGGGATTAGAATGAAATTCTGCAGTTCAGCTAAAGGGGCCGATTCACCTTGGTTTGTCCATGTCCCATGTCCCAGGAAGAGTCTGGGCCCCTTAGGTCCAGCAGATGCAGTCTAATGGCCCTGCTTCCTTCTTCATCAGCAGTGCTGGTGGTGGCAGCATAGCCGACATCGCTGAGCACCAACTGTGAGCCAAGGACTGCTCTGAGCTCCTTCTGTGTCTCCTCTTATTTGGTACTCATTGTCCTTGAAAGGTTGGTGGCTATCCGTATTTCACACATGAGGAAAACAAGGAAAAGAGAGTAAGTTATTGGGTCAACCATGTGGAATTCCTATTTTTGTAGATCAAAAAAGGTCAAATATCAGCAAACGCATATAATTCAACATACTACTTACCCCATATTACAGAGTTAGTAGGTGGTGACTCCAGAGTGTGAACTCTCAGCTACCCAGAATGATAGCTGGGTACCTCTATTTCAAATGACAGACTCAGGCTCAAAGCAAATGCATTTTTTTAAAAATAGTGCTATCAGCAGACTACTTCCTTTCTTCTCTAGTCGAGTTTCAACTGCTGATTTTATTCAGGTCATAGTGTGAAAGTTGGCTCCAGTCAGACAAGACTGCCCTGCCTGTGGCTTGTTCTTGCTGTGCAGCTGAAAGCAGCCCATCAAACCAACTCTCTCAGGCTGGCTGCCTTAAAACCTGCCTGCCTAAAAATATCTTCCTCTTGGATGGCAGAGGGTCACATGCCTCATCTGCCCAGCTGAACTTCCCTTCATTGGAGGTGCTCAGCTACAGCTTCGTGCCTTCCGCTCAGAGCCGTCATTAAGATTCATCTGTGAACTCTCTCATCCTCACCTGTTAACACACTGATGATTAGCTTATCAGATTACTCAAACTCGGGCCTTGGGTCAGGTGAGTTTTCTTTGGGGCTTGGGTTGCAGATGGGTAAGGTCTGGAGTGTGAGGGTGAATCATAGACTATTAGATGTGGCAGTGACGTGAGAGGCTGTATTGGCCAATCCCAGCGTTTTACAGATGAGGAAACTGATATTTAGGTGCCGAAGCCCAGGTGTCTTGATTTTAGGATGAACAATCCTCCTGATTTGCCTGGGACTGTGGGATTTCCTGGGGTGGGGGACTTTCAATATTCAAACCTGGAAGGTCACAGACAAACTGGAATGAATTGACCACCCTGCTCCGCTGGGAGCCCAAAACTCTTCTGCTTCTCAGGCTTAAGCAGGCCCTTGCAGTGGGGGCCCCACGGCTGCTTGATACAGCTCAAAAATGCGGGGTGGGGAAACGGACACAAACGTGGTTTACCGCGTCTAGCTCCTCTGAATGGTCTGTCTCTAGGCATGGTCTTGGATACCACATGACAGCAGCCAGACTGTGTCAGAACTCAGCCTCTTGGGCCATAGAATTTAGGGAAGATAGTTACATTGAGTCTTCAGTCTAAGAAAATAAGGCTGTGGTCTGGTTCATGCACCTCACAGAGACAGGGTCGCTGTGTCAGGCACAGACCTGCGGTTCACACAGCCTTCGGGGAGAGTGCTGTTTGTCTCACTATGTGTGGCTGCATGGAGGTTGGGAATGGAGAAGTACTCTCGCAGGGAGACAGATCAGCAGGGTGTCCCGTGCTACCCTCGTTTCCTTTTTCAGAAGTTTTGTCATTCAGGGGTTTTGAATCTTGCAATAAGCGGTCATCCTTGGTTAACTTTGGACTTTTTTCCTTAAATGTCATGCACCTAATTTTTAAAATTGTTCTTGGTTTTACTTCTCCTTCAAGGCTATTTTGCCCCCAGCTGTTGGTTGCTTGTCAGTTGTTTCCTCCACAGCGCCTCCTGCTTTCTGTTCAGCTGCAACCCAGCCTCTTGCTCATGCCCACCTGGGAGTGGGCATGTGTTGAATAAAAAAGGGAAGGAAAGGAGGAGGCAAGGAAGGAAAGATGAGAGGATCTCAGTCAGTCAAAATTGTCAGATAGTATACCTTCTCTTCAATATTCTCTTTCCTGCATGCATTGCTTTAAGATACCCCCAAACACCTCCACCTCCATCCCTACCCCTACACACATCTGCTAGAATCTAAATTCTTTCATGATCCACCCTTGTTGTCACTGAAATGTCCTTAGTGCCCAAATGACAAATTTACTGATCTAGTAAACTAATCTTTGCTAATGGGGGTTAAAGTCAGAGCTGAAGGCCTCAGAAGTGAATCTTAACCATGACCTATAGAGTTACTACCCCTCGTAGGCTATCTTAACACTTTCATAATTCTTACAGAGGAACTATGGAGTTGGGAGGATGGGTAGTGGCAGGAAGCATAGTGGAGGATTATTTTGGGAAGAGCTCTGTGACGAGGGTGGCCAAATTTAGCAAAGGAAAATCCAACAGGATGCCCAGTTGGGTTTGAATTTCACATAAACAACAAATAATTTCTACTTATACTAAGTATGCCCCTTGCAGTATTTGGGATATACTTATCCCAAAAAAGTATTCCTTATCTGAAATTCAGATTTATCTGGCAGTCCTGTATTTTATCTGGCAACTCTGTCTGTGACCCGTGATGTGATGTCTTCCAAATCTGCAGTCTGTGCAGTAGGGGAGCGGGATTGCTTTGGAGTTTGGACCAGTTTCCAAATGTCTGGCAGAAGGCAACCAGCCCATCAGAGAGGGCATCGTGCGATAGAGTCAGGTGAAACTACTGCCCTCAAAGCCAGGCCTGCGCATGCACGGGGGCATCTGAGGTAAGCCCGAACACAGCAGGGCAAGGGCCAGTAAAATGGGCGTGTCCTGCTAGGTCCTTCCCAAAAGATACGATGTCGGGTTCTGGTGCTGAAAGTTGACCCGTCTGATACCCGCCACACTAGAACATTATTTTTAGGTTTCAGGAAGAAGTGGCAAGATTTTTAAAATAAGGTTATAGACGTAGGGGCAATTACATTCAAGGAGCTCAATGGTGAATGTGTGTTTAAGACCAGGAAATGCAATTCATGGGCCTGCTAACATCAGACCTAGAAAGATTAGTACCAGCAGCTTTCCAAGTAAAAATGCCTAAGACTAAAAACCCACACTTTTCTTTCACTTTTTCAATAAACAAAGGTAATTCTACTAGCTTCAAGAAAATTGCTTTTGTCGCTGTAATCATCTTTTTGTTTTCCACTAATAAAAAAGAGGCTGTTTTGATATCTGCTATTAGCTTCTATACTGGATATACCCTATCTGCTCTCCCAGGTCTACTGTTTTCCCCTCTTTTCTACCTCCTCTGTGCTCTAGGAAAGTGACCTGAACCGTTAGTGACTCCCTTCCCCTCTAGATCCTGGTTAGGAGCTGCCTTTGGCAGATATCAGCAAAAAATTGGAAGGTGGGAAGATAGAAAGGTCAGAAGAGTGACTTTATTGTTGTTGGTGTTTATTAAAATGCTTATGGTTTCAACAACCTAATAAAATACACTTAATAAAATAGAAACAGATGAAAACTTCTTTAACATAGTAAAGTACATCCAGCCAGTATTCTGCTTGGCGGGGAAATGCTAGAGGCAGTCACACTAAAGTTACGAATAAGACACAGGTGCTCGCTATTATTTAAAATTTTACTGAGGATACTAGCAATCACAATTTGACATTATAAAAACTTTACGCTGGGCGCAGTGGCTCATGCCTTTATTCCTAGCACTCTGGGAGGCCAAGGCGGGTGGATCGCTCAAGGTCAGGAGTTTGAAACCAGCCTGAGCAAGAGTGAGACTCTGTCTCTACTAAAAATAAAAAGAAATTAATTGGACAAATAAAAATACATAGCAAAAAAAAATTAGCCAGGCATGGTAGTGCATGCCTGTAGTCCCAGCAACGTGTGGGGCTGAGGCAGGAGGATCACTTGAGCCCAGGAGTTTGGGGTTGCTGTGAGCTAGGCTGATGCCACGGCACTCTAGCCTGGGCAACAGAGTGAGACTCTGTCTCAAAAATAAATAAATAGCCCAGGCGTGGTGGCTCACGCCTGTAATCCTAGCACTCTGGGAGGCCGAGGCGGGCATATAGTTCGAGGTCAGGAGTTCGAAACCAGCCTGAGCAAGAGTGAGACCCCGTCTCTATTATAAATAGAAAGAAATTAATTGGCCAACTAATATATATAGAAAAAATTAGCTGGGCATGGTGGCGTATGCCTGTAGTCCCAGCTACTTGGGAGGCTAAGGCAGCAGGATTGCTTGAGCCCAGGAGTTTGAGGTTGCTGTGAGCGAGGCTGACGCCATGGCACTCACTCTAGCCTGGGCAACAAAGTGAGACTCTGTCTCAAAAATAAATAAATAAAATTATTGAAAATTATTTTTAAAATGACCTAAGTCAAGCTTATTCATTGCATCATAACTTGCAATAGCAAGATTGGGAATAACCCAGTGTTCGTCAATATGAAACAAGTCAAAAAACCCTGACACATCCATGTAATGGAATATTATGTAGCCACAAAAAGAAAGAAATGCATAGAAAGAGAATCAGAATGTACTATGTACTATATTGATATGGAATCTCCAAGATATTTTTAATAAAAAATACAAGGTGTAGAGCAGTATGCACTGTTTTCTACCTTTTGTGTGAAAGGTAGTAAAAATAAAGTAGAATATATGTTAATATTTGCTTGTAAATACATAAACAACTCTGAAACAATTCCAAGAACCTAATGACAACGGATTAGGAGGTAAAAAAGTAAGATCTTGTGAATAGAAAATAGGGTAGGGAGATTGATTTTTTACCTTTTATATTTTTAAAATGTTCATATCATGATTATGTATTACTTATTCAAATATTAAATAAAGTGCTTGTTAAGAAGTAAAACAATATTGAAATATATAAGATAGGAAATAATGTTCTCTTACCCCTAAGCCTACCACTCAGAGAAAACCAATGCAAACAGACTGCTATATATTTTAAGGAATTTAGTCATTCAATAAGAAGCAGATAGGAAACCTTTTTTTAAAAAATTATTAGGCAAAGAAAGCTCTATTTTCTGAGTCCCTGCAATTATATTGTTCTGGCACTGCCACATCCACTTAGCCCAAAGATAAGCAGTTGAGATAAATGTTGACCTCTTTCTGTGGGCTCACAGTGAGCCACTGGGCTTACATAGCACACCCAATCATACCTGAGTTCAGTTGTAATTAAAATTGGAAGTTAGAAAATAAATCTGAATTAGGTAGCAATTTAAAAGTGAACAGTAGGCTGGGCGCGGTGGCTCACGCCTGTAATCCTAGCACTCTGGGAGGTCCAGGCGGGCAGATTGCTTGAGGTCAGGAGTTCAAAACCAGCCTGAGCAAGAGCAAGACCCCGTCTCTACTATAAATAGAAAGAAATTAATTGCCCAACTAATATATATATAGAAAAAATTAGCCGGGCATGGTGGCACATGCCTGTAGTCCCAGCTACTCGGAGGCTGAGGCAGCAGGATTGCTTGAGCCCAGGAGTTTGAGGTTGCTGTGAGCTAGGCTGACGCCAGGGCACTCACTCTAGCCTGAGCAACAAAGTGAGATTCTGTCTCAAAAAAAAAAAAAAGAAAAAAAGTGAACAGTAGAGGGCCAAGCATGGTGGCTCATGTCTTTTATCCTAGCACTTTGGGAGGCAGAGACAGAAGATTGCCTGAGCTCAGGAGTTCAAGACCAGCCTGAGCAAGAGGAAGACCCTATCTCTACAAAAAATAGAAAAATTAGCTGGCCATGGTGGCACTTGCCTGT